TGAACATGCAATTACATCATATGTACATACACTTTTTATCAACACCGACACACACTGCTTACAGGCCAGTAGCCAGCAATTTCAAAAGGGGGGTTCTTTTTTTTTTTGAAAAAGTGGACCATTTTCCATAAAAACTTCATGTACCTAGATCAAATTTTACCCAGAGTGGACCTTTTACCAGCAAAAGGGCCGTACAAACGTACAACTTTTCGAACCCCCCGAACCCCCCCTGGCTACGGGCCTGGCTTAAATAAAATTAGATCAGGGTGTCTGAATTGTTTTACACAAAGTGATCAAAAGATTATGATCAAATATTGCGCCATTTCTGTTACCTCCATCGTGAATACGCATGCCAATCGTTCCACCTGTGTACAGGACCAGGACTCTCGATTTATCTTTGTATTCTAGATCAGTCCCCTTCTCCGGTCTGTATGACGGATCCATGGAAGTTTTCCCTTCAAAGTCGGAGGCAACGGAACCAGCACCGTTCTTGGATGCCATTTTAATGATTGCATCGTCCACTTCACTTGTTATCTTTTTTGCACAAGAGACACCATCTAAGACGCTCCTAATTCTGAGTAGCCCAAAATAACCTAAACATTTACTAATTGCAGACACTTCCGAATTTGTTACTAAGATAAGATTTTTAAGAAAGTTTGTAGGTGCAATAAAAATTCCACTCACTACATTTGCAATCATCTGTGATTTAAATATACACGTAAGGTGCTGATATTATCTATGACATAATTTACCTTTATCAACCAGCGGTTCATACAAATGTTTTTTCTATATGTAAACAATTGCCATATGTCACATTAAAGTAAGATAAACAAATAAATGTCCTATAGACACTAACCCACATACTCTTTTCCAACTCACCTACAACCTCTCCAATGCTAGCCAAACTTATTCTGCGCATCAGGCGCCTTGGTTTTCCTTTGCCGACAGCATATTGGTCACCGGTTGCCATTTTTTAAAGCTAAAAATAGAATTTTAAAATTGGGCCAATTAAATTTGGCATTTCCCAAAATATAGCACTGTTCATTTAAATGCTGATCAAAATAAAAACAACAGATCGCTGCTCAGCACTGGCACTTTTCCAAATAACATATTCGACGAAAGTTAAGAGAAATCTTCAGTGCGTTTTGACCCTAAGAGTAGGCTGAATGCGTTTGATTTGTAAAGAACGGACAATGCAATTTCGCACCAAGTAACAGGGTTACGTGGGCACCTATTTCACGGCACGTATCTCACCTACTTTTCTTATAGTCAACAAACTAATCTGTAAATATTATGTAAGTTTTCAAGGTCACGCACAACCCTTTAAATGAAGCACAGTGTACCCATGGAGAATACCCATGGAACACGGACTTTCGCCGCGTTTTCAATATTTTTGGATTTTTTAATGTCCAAAACGTACAACGTTTACTTAAATATTGTAGCAGTTTTTTTTATTCCCTCCAAAGATGATCGAGGGAAGAGCCGTTCAGGTGGATACACCGATGCCCGTTGTTTTGCGGTCCTGACACCAGCGTTAAACAAGTAACAAAAAACAAGTTTTTTAAAGTTCACAAACATGTTATTCAAACTCCAACTGTAAACCGTAACAATAAAGCGAAAGAATAATGCAACATCTCTGAAGTCAGTTTGAAAGTCAGTTCCTCATAATGTCCACACAGAGAGCCACGTTACACACGATCAATTTCACACTTAAGTCTTAAAGCTCAACTGCAATGTTCTCCCTTTAAAAATATAAAGTCAACACGATTACTTAGTCCACTTAGAATGTACGTACACAGTTCCTCTCCTTCACTACGGATCCGGTTCACTGTACTTATGGGAAAGTAACGGGCTCGATATCTGAAACTCGGCCCTCAGGAAAGCGGGATTTCGACGGTCAACACATAAGTTCGCATCACATACTAGTAACTAGCTTGCTGTACTTCTAGAGGTAGCGGGCACGGTATCTTAAACTCGGCCCTCAGGGAAAAGCTAGATCCCCACGGTTTCGGCTCGGCTGTCTCGGCTGTCTCGGCTGGAGGCTCGGCTGATCGACTGGCTCGGCTGGACACTCTGTGGTTGGCTGGATGATCGGTTGGTCGGCTGTCTCGGCTGGAAAGCAAAGTCTCTCTATTGCAGTGATAGCACACCTCGGTTAAAGCCTCATCGGCGTATTACCATTAGGAAGGTCAGATCTCACCGCTCACGCGAAAACGGGAAAAATTCAACCTCGCTGTTTGTTTTCCATCATAACTTCCAAGATTTGGCTCCTATGATAAATATGGAAATATATTTAAAAAGTGCACTGAATGGGATTTCTAACAATATATGTGTAACGATGTATCATTTCTCTGTTGTAAGCCTCCAGCCACGAAACTGCTGTGAGAAATCGCCAGTGATTTCACTTCCTCGTTTGGTTTCCACTATTTACGAATTTTGCTCAACCTGCGCGTTTCACGCCATTTTTCCAAAAGCTCCTTACGGCGTCCCGGATGTTATTTCCTCGTATTTAGCCACATATTCATGCAGAGAATGAACCAACCCTTCTTTTGAGGGGTTACAGAAGGTGATTTAACCGAAAACAGCAACCACAACTCTCGGTTCAAATAAGTTTTTTACTTATCATTTTTTGGTAAGACAGAGTCGTAACAGCCGTTAGAAAATCAGTGACTTTGATCTTACCGCAAACAAAATGGCAGACGCACCAAGCTGTTCTGCTGATGAAAAAGCAACTGCACTTTCAGCACCCAAAGAGGATGAAGATATAAGAATATCTAATCAGAAAATCTTTGAATTGTTCACGAAACCCAAGGATATTAATAAAATGTCTGCAATTGAAGAATATAGAATTTTACGTACGATATTGATGGGCCTAATGCTTTTTTTCACCTTTGAACTCGTTAGTGATCATAAAAAGGGGGGTCTTAATTAAAATCACGGAGATATGCAATAACTCTAGAATGGTGAATGACAGTCAAACAAAAGTGAATAAAAGTAGTATTTATTAAATTTTTCTTAACTAAAATAAAAAAAAGGAAAATTCCTAAAACTGCCATTATGTTATGGCAGTCTCCCCAAAAAATCTCGCTGGTTTTTGTATTACCTAGCTTCCATAATGTTCAATATCAATTTAATTTTTTTGGCAAAATGATAACTTACCAAAATCAGATATTACTTATTTTCATTGTGCATTCTGGCATTTTTTTACTAGTTAAACCTTAAAATTGTATATGCAATTACCATTATAATATTGGTTGCCACGGCAACAGTGGCATGGTGTTTGTTTACTATTTAACTTTTAAGTTTAACTTTTAAAAATTCATAAATTGAGTACCAAGAGTGTTTCCCACTTTATATTCAATTAAAAATTCATGATAATGCGTAAAAAATAATTCAAACTGTTACCATAGCAACAGCTATCATTATGACGATTTCCATAGCAACAGATACATTAGAAGCCATTATTGTTGTTTTTAGTGATGACACATTTTTGAGAATCAATTTCAACCAAAAGTAGCCTTTGGGCAGTGATGCTGAAGCCTTAAGGTTGAAAAATAAAAAAAATAGTATTGATTGCTATTGATATTTAGCAACGGTTGAAATAATGGATAAATTACAGAAAATTATATCTTGTCAGATTCTTTTTGGCATAGTGTAACTTTCCAGAAAATTTCAAATGGATATTTAACTCTCATCCGATCATTCGGGATTATATGAGAATTGCATGCGCATGCGTAGAGCTCAATTTGCGTTCGCGTGTTTGAGCAAGTTGGAAAGCGCTCTTTTACGCTGTCTTTTTTCCCCAAGTTTTCACTAGTTCGGTGAATGTATGGTGAACTTTTTCGACTGATTTTGTGTGATTCAGTCTGGATTCCGTAATGACTGATAAAAGTTCACAAGCAGCAGATGTTGTTGGAAACATTCTGTCTGAAATGCTGCAGCAGCAGGGTGCACAGCATTTAGAGCAGCATGGCCATGGGTCGACTGCTAACATAAATTCGGGGTCTGGGAATGACCAGCCCGATCGTAAAAGAAAACACAATATTCAAATGTTGGGGGAGGCCGGAGCTTGTTGGCCCAGCCAGACACTTTTGGCCTTGTAGTGCCAACTAGGTTTCAAAGTAATTAAGCCCCATAACTAAGCTACGTAGTTTCAGCGCAGCGTGCATTGCTTTTGCATTGACGTAAATTATATTAATGGTATAATCCATCAAATGTTTTTTTTATAAACTCATTTGCCGTAAAATAATTAATGAGATTTTTGCCAGTAGAAACTAAGTCAGTGTATGAATCATATGACTTACTCTACTGAATTAGTCATCACTACTCAGTATGCCGCTTCTTATCATGGGTTATATTGGATTATATTTTGTAAACATAATAAATAAATTTTTAGTAACACTGGTTTTTAATTTACGAACGGTTGTGCAAATTGTATAACTNGGCTGGATGCTCGGCTGGTCGGCTGTCTCGGCTGGAAAGCAAAGTCTCTCTATTGCAGTGATAGCACACCTCGGTTAAAGCCTCATCGGCGTATTACCATTAGGAAGGTCAGATCACACCGCTCACACGAAAACGGGAAAAATTCAACCTCGCTGTTTGTTTTCCATCATAACTTCCAAGATTTGGCTGCTATGATAAATATGGAAATATATTTAAAAAGTGCACTGAATGGGCTTTCTAACAATATATGTGTAACGATGTATCAATTCTCTGTTGTAAGCCTCCATCCACGAAACTGCTGTGAGAAATCGCCAGTGATTTCACTTCCTCCTTTGGTTCCCACTATTTACGAATTTTGCTCAACCTGCGTGTTTCGCGCCATTTTTCCAAAAGCTCCTTACGGCGTCTCGGATGTTATTTACTCGTATTTGGCCACATATTCATGCAGAGAATGAACCAAGCCTTCTTCTGAGGGGTTACAGAAAGTGATTTAACCGAAAACAGCAACCACAACTCTCGGTTCAAATAAGTTTTCAAATAACTTATCATTTTTTGGTAAGACAGAGTCGTAACAGCCGTTAGAAAATCAGTGACTTTGATCTTACCGCAAAATGGCGGACGCACCAAGCTGTTCTGCTGATGAAAAAGCAACTGCACTTTCAGCACCCAAAGAGGATGAAGATATAAGAATATCTAATCAGAAAATCTTTGAATTATTCACGAAACCCAAGGATATTAATAAAACGTCTGCAATTGAAGAATATAGAATTTTACGTACGATATTGATGGGCCTATAATACTTTTTTTCACCTTTGAACTCGTTAGTGATCATAAAAAGGGGGTCTTAATTAAAATCACGGAGATATGCAATAACTCTAGAATGGTGAATGACAGTCAAACAAAAGTGAACAAAAGTAGTATTTATTAAATTTTTCTTTACTAAAATAAAAAAAAGGGAAATTCCTAAAACTGCCATTATGTTATGGCAGTCTCCCCAAAAAATCTCGCTGGTTTTTGTATTACCTAGCTGCCATGATGTCCAATATCAATTTAAATTTTTTGGCAAAATGATAACTTACCAAAGTCGGATATTACTTATTTTCATTGTGCATTCTGGCATTTTTTTACTAGTTAAACCTTAAAATTGTATATGCAATTACCATAATAATATTGGTTGCCACGGCAACAGTGGCATGGTGTTTGTTTACTATTTAACTTTTAAGTTTAACTTTTAAACATTCATAAATTGAGTACCAAGAGTGTTTCCCACTTTATATTCAATTAAAAATTCATGATAATGCGTAAAAAATAATTCAAACTGTTACCATAGCAACAGCTATCATTATGACGATTTCCATAGCAACAGATACATTAGAAGCCATTATTGTTGTTTTTAGTGATGGCACATTTTTGAGAATCATTTTCAACCAAAAGTAGCCTTTGGGCAGTGATGCTGAAGCCTTAAGGTTGAAAAATTAAAAAAAAATAGTATTGATTGCTATTGATATTTAGCAACGGTTGAAATAATGGATAAATGACAGAAAATTATATCTTGTCAGATTCTTTTGGGCATAGTGTAACTTTCCAGAAAATTTCAAATGGATATTTAACTCTCATCCGATCATTCGGGATTATATGAGAATTGCATGCGCATGCGTAGAGCTCAATTTGCGTTCGCGTGTTTGAGCAAGTTGGAAAGCGCTCTTTTACGCTGTCGTTTTTCCCCAAGTTTTCACCAGTTCGGTGAATGTATGGTGAACTTTTTCGACTGGTTTTGTGTGATTCAGTCTGGATTCCGTAATGACTGATAAAAGTTCACAAGCAGCAGATGTTGTTGGAAACATTCTGTCTGAAATGCTGCAGCAGCAGGATGCACAACATTTAGAGCAGCATGGCCATGGGTCGACTGCTAACATAAATTCGGGGTCTGGGAATGACCAGCCTGATCGTAAAAGAAAGCACACTATTCAAATGTTAGGGGAGGCCGGAGCTAGTTGGCCCAGCCAGACACTTTTGGCCTTGTAGTGCCAACTACTGGTAGGTTTCAAAGTAAGCCCCATGAACTAAGCTACGTATGCAACGTCATTACTTTTTTCAGGGTTGGGGCAAGCTGGCACCCTAAACGAAAATGAAATAAGTAATTTTCCTGTAGTTGTCACATGCTGTAGATGTTTTGTGCTTATTTGTCCATTGGAAACAATGAGAACTATTGTATGTAGTCGCCTTGTGGATTTCTATTGGTAGTGAGATGACTTGTCTGGCCGTTTACAGGGGCGGATCCAGAGATATTTTCTGACAGTCTTCCAAATTATCTTTGTTGATTCATCTTCCATTTTTGACCGTCTTCCGACAGAAAAAATTAGATACCCATCAATGTTAACTTAAAAATCTGACCGTCTTCCAGAAGACCCAGAAGACGGCCTAAATCCGCCCCTGGTTTAGGAAGGATCACTTGCACTGTCAACTAGGAAAGGAGCTAGGCTGCTTCCTGGACTTTTTTGCATTATCCCTCTTGCCTACCTGCGCAGCTGCTGCTTTCTAGTTGGTTTTGCAGATTCCTTCTTTTGTGTAAAGATACCACTTTCCTCTGATGCGACATGTTCCCATACATTGATGTTTCTCTGGAAACCGGATTTTAATATACTGTCTGTCTGTTCCTCATAGGACTCTGGCCAAAGCTCAATTCTTACTGGCTGTTGTCTTATTGGCCTACCAGAGCTGATCATGCATGTTTCTTTTTGCTGTGCTGATGGATGATTTTTCATACAAGATCTGGAGCTATTTCAAAGCAAAGTCCATTTTCTTGTTTTTCATGGGCATTTACGCATCAACACAACTGACAAAAATTGATAGTATTATAATAAAACACATTTTTCACCCTTCAAATCTTCTGGACTATATTTAACATGCAAATGCAAGTCCCAGTGGATGGTCACTTAAGATAAATCTAGATGATATATTTGGGCATGTGGTTCGGGTTCGGGTTCGCTATCTTACAAATTATATAAATTCTCCTATTCATGAAACTTCTATCGCTTTAATAGATCAAAACAACTCCCTTTCGTTTATGTAAAATATTTTTCTAGATATTAACGCAATAAAATTACGGTAATTCTTCGATACTTTCGATGGGGAAAAATAATGTATGAATGTATGAATCATGACTTACTCTACTGAATTAGTCATCACTACTCAGTATGCCGCTTCTTATCATGGGTTATATTGGATTATATCTTGTAAACATTATAAATAATTTTTGAGTAACACTGGCTTTTAATTTACGCATGGTTGTGCAAATTGTATAACTTTATGGCTCTTTTACCGTGTTTACTTTTGTTTTCACCGTTAAGATTTCTTTTATCAATGATGTCAAAACACAGCAGGAGATTGCAAGGTGACCACCTCACAAGAACAAGCAACAGCTATAAACTACGAACCAGGTTAAATTTTGCTTCCTAGAAAGGCCGCTGGCAACATTCAAATCAATAAAGGCAGCTAGAACCACGAAAGACCAGAATCAAATGAGGTGCCCCCAGAGAACAGAAAAATGTGAAACAGATTTAATTTACAAAAGCACTTTTACCAACAGGATGCATATCAACAGACTGAGAGGCTAGTCCAGATATTTTCAATACATCAGGGTTTACCATGCAACAAGTGAGAAAATCTATCAAGTCTAAATGGTCAAAAACTCAAAGAGAAGTGAAATCAGACATTTGTGTTCAAAAATATTCACCAGTGGCATTTTCAACACCCCAGAAACCGAGTTACAGAAAACAGATACTATGCAATGTTCACATGAGCAGCAATTTAAAGATGAAACATTTGAGAAAAAGTATAAATTTTAGAAAGTCATATATATAATTTATTATACTTTAGGTGACAAACTAACACAAGTCAACTGTGTACTTATTTGTTTCAGGTAAACAAATGTATATAAATTAAAGCAAAATCAACATTATTTAAAATGATAAATAATTTCTAAAAACAGTTATATATAGTGCATAAAGTGCATGTACAAATATTAATAGCTTGTGACAAATAAAAATATTTAAGGAAAAACAATTTCAATACTGGAATGAAGATGAAACAAATTATAATGTGAAAAAATGGAAAGCAAAAAAGCTTTGATAATAGGTTTATTGCACACATTCAGCTTTAATGCGATTATCCCACAAAAAAGCCTTACAATTGTTTTAATGAAAGGGGAATACTAAAATCTAAGAATTAACCTTGCAAAGTATAAACAAGTTTTTTGAGAACTTTATGGAAACTAATTTCCCTCAAGGAAATCTGTGATTCATACTTTAAACAACCTTAAGAATAAAATCAACTTTAAACCACCTTAAGAATAAAACAATATATAAGTACCTCAAGAAAGTCAAATTAAATAAAAGATACTTTTTTATGCTCATACATTTACTTAAAGATATAATTTGCAAAAAGATTTAAAAATGGAATTGGAGTAGTTTGAGGTATATGTTGAATTGCACTGATAATTATCATACTTGAGATTATTTCTCATCACATCAGTATGATACAATCATATTATGAATGTTCAATTTTTGATCACACAAAACAGTCTGGTATATAAAAGATGCTTCACTGTTATAATAAAAATGATATACATATGTGCTTTTCCAACTAGACAAGATGATATTAAAGGTATTCTATATATATATATATATTTTTTTTTTTGTGTGTGTGTGACACTTTATGGAAACTTATAATTTCCCCTAAGGAAATCTGTGATTCATACAAAAAGATAAAAAAATGGAATTGGAGTGGTTTGAGGTATATGTTGAAGTGCACTGATAATACTGATCATACTGAGATTATATCTCATCACATCAATCATATTATGAATGTTCAATTTTTGATCACACTTACACAAAACAGTCTGGTATGTAAAAAGATGCTACACCGTCATTATAGAAATGATATATATGTGCTTTTCCAACTTGACAAGATGATATTAAAGGCGCTCTATACGAGTTTTACCAGTCAAAATGAATTTTCCTTGAGGGGGGATTTTGTCCTATGTAAGAATCATTGCTTGGTTGCCCTGCACTTGGTTTTTATATTCCATTTTGATTAATTGTTGTAGTTCTAAATGACCAGCCAGTCATTTAGAAGACTGTGTCTTCCCGTATATTTCAGTTTTTAAGGTCTGAATTGAGAAAAAGCATAAGCTTTGCAGGGCCTGTAGGCATAGTAAGTATCACTATGGAAAACTCTTAAACATGCAGTGTACCTTAAACATATATCAGATAAGAAAAAAAGTCCACTTTCATCAAATAGTCAAAACACCAAAACAGCGCATATAATTAAAATACAGTGCACAATTAGGTGTTTTCATATTTCATATTATATTCATACAGGACAATAAGTTAAGTGTCAGTGGAAGTGCTTGTGCTAACAATTGGCTTCACAGCGTCAAGGATCAGCTTGGAGATCTTTCTGTGTCCTTTAGCAGTTGCCTCCTTGAGTGGAGTATATCCAAACCTATATTCTGCCGTGACACTCACCCCTTGTTCTAACAGAAACTCTGCTGAATCCTGATGTCCATGAGAAGCTGCCCCACCCCAAAAAATTACCCAATAATTGTTTTAAAAAAATCAAATGTCATATATGACAAAAAATCAAAATGGACATCAAAAGGGTTGCTGGTCTCGGTGTCCATGTTCACTTAGTTACACAGTGAAGAAAAGTATACCAGTATATTAAGAGTTTTTAACAGTACGGTCTGGTTTTCCTTACAACATGTAGTGCAGTTCTTTTGTCATAGTTGCCCTGGCTTAGATTAGTACCACATAAACCCACCCAATTCACCACGGAGGTTCTGCGCTAACTTCTAAAAATAAAAAAAAACAAACAAACTCTAAATGTACCATCACAATATAGACGTTAATCAAAATATATAATATGCCGTAGTCTCCCATTGTACGTATTCCTTGCGACAACCCTTCCTGGCTGGGAGTATCTTGATAAAGCCTTTGTTCTATATTTTTATATGTTCTACCAAATAAAGGCATTGCTTCACCTTTCAAAAAGATTCCCTGAATGCTCATCCTCACTGTACAAACACTCTCAATCAAACTGGAATAGTTGTTGCTATGACAACAGGGATGCCCCTTTAAACCCTTTCTTCCTTTAGCAGATGCAATAATAACTGACTCACAATAAAAAGTTGATAAAGTCTTTTATATAATAAGTCTTTTAAATAATAATAATAATAATAGTATAATACATTCCTCTTACCTCCTTCTTGTCCTTAAAATTCCAGTCTTCTCTTCCTATTACAAAGGCCAGCTTGGCCAGTGCAGCCTCAGGTGTCATGTCGGAGCCTTGTATCACACCTGCTTCCTTCAAAGCCTGGAAATATCAAATACAAATCACAGGTCAATAACTAACAAATCTATTACTGTATTGGGCATATATGCAAAGTAAAAAGTTGTTTACTGATAAAATCTAAAACAATCGTTTTCCTTTGATTTTTGCAATAGAATTGGGTATTCTCAAAATACAAAAGTAGGACATTTTACCACACTAAGCCACAAGCTGTATGGGTGTAAAAAAAAAAATAAATAAAATAAAAAGAAGCATTTTCAAGCGTATTTCTCTTGGTTATCAGCAAACCTTTCCTGTGGCATAACCTGGGTTAACAGAGCCTCTGTGGCACTGGGTGATGTTAAGCAGCAGCACCCCTCTTTTCGTGGCCTCTGAGAACACTTGCATTAAGTCCTTTCTGGAATCTGGAGCATTTCCTGCCCCGTAGGATTCCAGGACCATTCCCTTGAGTGGAGGTGCCAAAAACTGGCGAACCTATCATAATAATAATAATAATAATAATAATAATAATAATAATAATAAACTTTATCAATAAAAATACTCAAAATCTTGATCAAAATCTGAAAAGTTACTATGACACTGGACATCTTTGGGCCTATAGCATCGATTTGGCTTTCATGAATTGGCCATACATGAATAATGACCTCCATATGTTAACATTTAGTGAACATCTTTTTTTATTGTCCATATAATTTTAAATATGAAATACAGTGGATATTCACTATCTGATTCATTTTCAGTATTTTTTCATGATCTTAACCCAATAGAATATTTATACTTTTAAACCTGCCTAAAAACAACTTATTCAACTAACCATAGCAGTGGTGATAGTGGGGAAAAGACGGAGTATTCCCACGCTAGGACAAAGCTTAGTCAAGGTACATTTTTGATTGGTGTTGCTGGTAAGAATCTCATCCCAATGCACTGTGAATAAACAGTAAACATATAAAATCAAGGGAAACTTGAAATATATATCGGACCATATGAATCATATCATGGGGTACAAACCTTAAATAGAAAGTCAATCTACTGTAGGACATTGTAACTTAGATAGAAATCGAGTGCCAAACTTGTTATAAACAAGTTATTATTAAAATGAAATTTTAAGAAGTGCTTTTCACTTTAATACTTTGAAATACACATTTTTATAAGTTTTAAATATCATACCATGAATCTTAGTCCCTAAAACAGCAAGGGGAGGAAAGTTTGGGGAACGGAATGCATCAAAACTGCTACTATCAAATTTGGTTGAACGGTTTCCTCGAAGAAGCTTATTGTTGAAAAATATCATCACCTAGAAATAAAAAAAAACTCTTTAGAATCAAGATCTGGATAAATTGTGTACATTGGTCATAAAGAATCTTTGGTTTTCATTCATTTCAATGTAGTTAATTAAATGGTTTAAAAGGTGCTTAATGAAAAAGATCAATATTTGCAATCTCATACTGACATTATCCCTTTTAAGTGCAAATTATACTGAATGTGAAACTTAACTTATAGGTGCTTTTTTACCAATTAATGCAGAATACATACATGTATCAATACACACACACACACACACACACACACACGCACAGAAAATGTGTTACCTCTGGAATGCAGTAGTTTCCAGCCATTATGAGAGCACCAAGAAGATTATCTCTGCCGTCACTACGAATCTCAAAGATGGGAATCTGAATAAATAAGCAAACAGCATTTGGTAGTAAACCACATGCTGAAAATTTAGATTCATATATTTTAAGATACGTAATAAATGTTAAACTTTTAATGGCAATTGATCATGTTTAATTAATGTAACATATATTTGTTTTTTGTGTACACTATCTAGAAGTTTACTGTTTTTGACATCAAGAGTACAGCCTTTCATGTAAAGTGATGGAATCCATAAAGTGTATTTGAGCCCACGTTTGGGGAAGGGGCATTTTTATCATGTTCTAATGTGAGTTCACACATAACATCTTTCAATATTTTCTTAATGCCTTAATAATGAGAACAAAAACTTACCTGCGAGCCAGTAAGAATGATAGGTTTTCCCAGGTTCTCAAACATGAAAGACAAAGCTGATGCTGTGTAGGCCATAGTATCTGTCCCATGAAGTATAACAAACCCATCAAAATCCTCATAGTAAGTCTGAATGAAAAAAAAAAACTGTCATGTTTACAGAATTAAATAAATAAATAAATAAAATAAAAAATTGAGCATGCACACAATATATAAAAAACTGTCACTTTTTGTAATACTGAAAGACTTAAAAAGAAGCAAATGCACTGGACTCTGAGAATTACCTTAATGTCTGAGGCAATCCTAGCCCAGTCATCCATGGTCATATTGCAAGAATCCAGCAGGGGCTCATACTCATACACACAGTATATCACATTTTTCTTTTCTTTGCTTAAACTGAAAAAAAAATTATGTAGATTATTTATTTTTCTTCATGTTTTGTTTATATTGTGTGTATAATGCCTTAACTGATACTCTTCATAACTTAAATGTATTTTCGCAAAACGCGTTAAAAGATGGTTTGTCTCTTTTTTTATCTTTGAAAAGGTGAAAACTGTCATGGGATCAAATTGATAGTTTTTTTTTTTTAATTCTTAATTAAAAGCTCGATTCCAATTTAAACCTTGGAAATAAAACAGATGGGTCACATAAATGAGCCACTATATTTTCCTAAATCTTTAAAGGTTTTAAATGTAACCTGACCGGGGCACGTCATAATTACTGCTGAATTGGATTACTCACGGCATACACAATGGTGACTTCATCCACTCCTGGTCATGGGATATTGATAATTTCCGTAACTCATTCACAAGAAAGTTTGGTTCTGGGGTACTGTGTGTAACTACGTACTGCTGGTCATGGAATATTGATAATTTCCTTAACTCATTCACAAGAAAATTTGGTTCTGGGGTATAAACTATAAAGAAAATATAATACCATATCAATTAAGTTATTTACTAATGCTAAATTACATACAAAATGAGCCATTATTATAATCAAATGCAAGGATGAGGTGTGATTATGACATAAACGCAGACTTTACGAAAGGCGTCGGACTGTCGGACATGCCTGACAAATTTCGTCTAGGTCTAATAAAAAATCCTATATGGTCGGTCCTTATATCCGGCGAGCTTTCAAGCTGACTCGGAATGTGTAAATCTAAGGAATACATTGTTGTTTCTTTTCTTGACGATATATTTTACTCCCTTCAAAAATCCCGGGGAGTTCCCAGCTAATTATTAATACATAATTTACTGACCTCAGTTTCACTTACAAATACTATTTTATGACTGGCTGAGGTTGGCGGATTCCTGTATGACGTAACTGATAGTTTCGTTTTCGTTTTCGTGTTTAATAGCCTTACATGACAAAATGACCGCAACACATGTGCTCCTGCTTTTTGCGTTTTATAAGGACTTGATGCCCTGTTTCTTCATTATCAGTTGTTATCAGTATTGTACTCATGGCTAAAGTCTTTTGTTTAGAAAAAATGACATCGTTGAACTTGAAATATTTCGTCGGCGCATAGCGCGGCAAAAATGAAATCGAAGTGAGGAAGGGAAACGGGTTGACCGGAACTGTAGTAAAATTGGATTTAAAGGTAGGCTCTGGCTAACTTATAATCCAGGAGAGAGGAAATAATTGTGCACACAGTGTCAGGAGTACTAATAAAAGTCAACTTTATGATCATGATTATAACAGTGAGTGCAATGGTGATTTCAGCCTAATTATTAGCCCAGAAAATAAACGCTTTCTTACAATCTGTAACAAATGACTTTGTGCCACTTGAACCGAAACACGTAGAAGCAGCAAACCCTGTACCAGCCACATATATCATCACAAAAGAAGATGTCGAAAAAGCCTTGCTACAAGTAAACGTACACAAGTCTACAGGTCCCGACGAAATCCCCAACTGGATCCTACATGACCTAGCAGGGTACCTAGTCGCCCCAGTATGTACCGGTGTGGCATCAATTGTTCGGAGCGTGAACCATCCGTTTTGCTCATGCGCACAAAGCGCAGGCAAATCTGAGAGACTTCCGGCGTGTACGGTCCGTCTCTAGTGTAGTGCCAGATGCAGGGTAGAACCGGCCCGATAGCTCAGGCGGTAGAGCACTCGCCCTGTTAGCGAGTTTGGTCCCTGGTCTGGCAGGTGATTTTTCTACACACTCCCAAAAAGGCGCTACACTATAGACTTTAATAAATATACACTGTTGAGAACATACTGCATATTCAAACATAATCTTTAGAAATATTAATATCTTATAGTTGTTCACCTCCACTGCGATTTCTCTCAGATGGCCATATCAACACACTAGCCAGTAAAATCAATGCAATAATACATGTAGTAGGCCAACAGCTGAATAACGACAGCCCGTCCACGGTAGTTTCATCCAAGCGTCGAACTGTAATTTGACGCTAATTCTCTATCAAAATTATCAATTAAAATTTCTGTATTAACACATGAATTTTACCTAGAAATATCCTCACTATAGTAAATATATAATGAGGTGGGAAACGATTAAGCCACGTTAATGCACAGGTGAATAACAACGGATCATTCACGGAACTATCTAAAACATTATTGCATAACATGTACTCCAAAGGACATAAAATCCATCAATTGCTACCAGACATAAATGAAAGTTCCTATACTTTGCGCAGGTTTATAAGTACACTGTGCCAAAACTGAGGACTGTCCGATCGTCAAAATCTTTTATCCCATGGGCTTTATCAAATTTTAAGAACAGGTTTTTATGAACTTTTAATGTGTATCGAATCATTTTAACACTTACAAGTATTGTTGTAAAGTTTTAGAATTCGAGGACGAATTCTTTTGAAGAAGGGGTGTATGTTGTAAAGCGAATGACTTACACTTTCACTAATTACAGATAACAATTAAAACGGAATCAAAAGAGTAAAAGGATAGGGAGGTAGCGCGAGGTAGCGGGATCGTTGCCCGCCTCCTCCACCACCTTTTATAGTGAAGAATACGACAGCAATCTGGAGCTTTCGAACGTTTATTCACCGACTGCCTTTTCACACAATTTCACAAGTAGGCCCTATTTAAAGGATTCTAGCCACGTAAAAATCCATTTCTCGAATTTTGAAGATTCAGCACTCGATCCATACACTAGAGATGTTTTTAAACGATCCCCACCTTTTAAAAAGTATAAAAACAATCTATTGGTAGAAAAAAAAGCGTTTTAGTAAACCTCACCTCAATATGCAAAAATGAAGCAACAGATCTGGGTCACGTGGTACTTTGACGACAAAGACGATAAAGGTCTTTGAGACTCAGCTGAGCTGCATGCTGTATACAGACAGAGAAGTTTAGGAAAGTTGAGTTGAAATGGGTTGGACAATTTTCGTTATGCTTCATTGTGTTGCCGTGGGATTCACCAAAAAATCAGCACTCGTTGACAATCTTCTTTCTTTGTCTGTGACGGTCTTCCGGGACTTATTTACTTCGGTGATGTAATGCTCGCGATTACGGTCGCCTCAAGTGGTTTAGATCATATGATATCAAAAGCTGACAGTCTTTCAAATTAACCGTCACCAGTTGACAAGCTTACTAATTGCTGATGCATATTAAATGCATGGTAGTAAATGCATAGTTGACCAAGAGCTCGTTAACAATAAACCCTGTTAATTACGCACCGCTGCACTTCCCAAGCCAGGTAATAACAGGTAACTCAACTTGTCAGATTCTTGGTGGGCTTTAATATTTTTTCAATATATCTCTTTTATTTCATGGGGTGATATTATTGGTATTTTTAAATGACGTTTAATATCGATATTTAAACAATTGAGTTCAAACACGGTCGCGAACATTAATGAAAGTGATTGCCCTTAGGGTATCCTGAAGCATGCGTATGCCCAGGCATTACTTCTGTGGAAGAAAACGTGGTTGAGGAAAAACTCGAAAAAGAGCAGTAATATTAAAGAAAAAAGAACATCTGTAATAAAAAGGTTCGTAATCCTAATGCGTTTAACGAAATAAAGTGTTTTGTGCTTTGAGAATTTGTTTCTGAAGGGTATATATATATATAATTTAAAAGATTTGTCATTTTATAATTTGAAACGCAAGTTCTGCGTCTGCACGCAAAACTTTTTGCAAATTTGCGAGTTTTGTCAAACCCCAAAAACATATAGCAGAACAAGGTAAAAAAAAAGCATTGTTTGATGTTAGTGGCATGTTAAAAAAATCATAACTTTAATGTGTTCACTAAATGTGCAGTATTTGATACGTACGTTAGTATATTTTAAATTATGTATGGAGATTTAACATGGTATTATCTTAAAGGGATATAAGAAGGGCACATACGAATTTTTTAAAAGAATCTTGGGTGTAAAAAGGAGAATTAGTGATAACTTAGTTCATTGTACATGTACGTAACTTAGTACATTATGAAACCGGGAGATACCCACTTCTTTTAAGTACATAGCTACAGTTTTTTAATATTGATTTAAATCCGTTCTTCGAAAAATTGTTTTATAACAGCGTGCTATAAAGATCTACTGAACAAAAAATTTGATTGGGTAATTTGAGTACGGAATGAACTGGAGACACTTGACTTGTCATTAATTTTTCACGAAAACATGTCAGATAATTTTATACTGTCCTTGATAGAGTAAATATTGAAAGATAATTTTAGTCAAACATTGACCGGGGAAATATCCACAAGGAGTAAAGGGCTATTGTACCAACATCTTGTTGATAATTTTACAGTGCAATTCTATTTAAATAAGCCAATTTCACAGAAATATAAGGAATTAATTGCCAAATTTAGACTTTCATCACATATTCTAGCTGTAGAAACTGGAAGGTAAACAGACAAAATTTAAGAACCGGTAAACTATGTATTTTAGATGACATCGAGGATGAATTTCATTTTATTCTTTTAAGAATTTAAAAATGTCTTTGCTACAGAACGTTTAGGCAGAAGCACACCAAGAAATTTATAATACAAAGTAAAATGTTTTCAAGCTAATTAAATTGTTATCACTTCACAATGTTTCACAATTAAACAACTTATGAAAGTACTTAAAATGTTCATCGGAGCTTAGATTAACGTCAGTCTGATGACTTTTTATCATTACTACTAGTAGCTGTATTGATGTTTTTATGACTCTAGAAGTTGTAAACTTCTCGTATGACTTCATATTTTTATTGCATTTCATTCTGATGAGCCGTAGGGCGCAAGGGTTTAATAAATTGAATTGAATTTCACAAATAACATGGATCTCATATCGAATGATCAAAAGTACCCTCAAGTCATNGTATCGTAACTGAATCGTGAGCGAATTAGACCAGAAAATTGGCAAAATCTCACGAATCCTGTGTGAAATAGGGGCCTAAGAGAGGTTGGATAAAAATCCCGGGGAGTTCCCAGCTTATTATACATAACTTATTGACCTCAGTTTCGCCATAGAAGGTCTCTACTTCTATGGTTTCACTTACAAGTACTATTTTGTGACTGGCTGAGGTTGGGGGATTCCTGTATGACGTAATTAGTAGTCTCGTTTTCGTTTTCGTGATACCCTAATACAAAATGGCCGCAACACATGTCCTTATGCTTTTTGCGTTTTTTAAAGACTTGATGATCTGTTTCTTCATTATCAGTTGTGTGCAAGTTGTGGCTAAGTCTTTTGTTTAGAAAAATGACATCGCTGAACTTGAAATACTCCGTCGGTGCATAGCCGGCAAAAATGAAAACGAAGTGAGGAAGGGAAACGGGTTGACCGGAACTTATGTAAAATTGGATTTAAAGGTACCCTCTACCAGGGCCGCAGTTATTATTGTGGACATTTTTGCTGAATTGCTGAATCGACTGAGAGCCAAAATGACTGCCTATTTATCTATAGACATATCTGTGAATATCTGTGGAAAATCAATCTGTCACCCTGGTAGAGGGTAATTTAAACGTAGGCCCTGACTAACTTATAATCCAGGAGAGGGGAAATAATTGTCCACACAGTGTCTGGAGTACTAAAGTTATCATTATGATCAACTGCAACATAAACCGTACTGTTTTATTACGCGGGTTCTGAAAATTTACGTACATCTGTTTCTCACGACCACGAGTTGGCTAAAGTGCATGAATTTGATGAAGGCTCACAGTTTGAGTTTCTTTTTTTTTTATAAAAATGAAATAAAATGAGGAAAGAATTCAGTCTCGTGCTGGACAATGCCTATCAAAGCTTCAATTGGATGAAAGAGACCGCCTCACATTGCCGTTTTGCATTGCACATGTTATTGCCAAAACAACGGGTGAAATAGTTATATGATTAACAGACGTTTTTATAGACATAGCCTACATTTGATATTACTGGATACACGTTCCTCAAACTTGGATTGGTTTTAGTCCTTGTGTCTTTCTTTTTCATTAAGTAATAAAACACTCATTATGCAAATAGTACTTTTTCAAATTATTTTCTTTCAATTAAGGATAATGAGACTATTAAGGGTGTGGTGTATATACAAGTCATGAGGTGAATCAATGATTTATAGATGATTAAGTACGTAAATGATTACGTGTACGGTATAAGATAAAACCCAAAGTAGTACGTGACAACTGGCACTGAATCAGAAAATAACGACTAAAAATGAACATGCAATTACATCATATGTACATACATGTAATGTTTTAGCTGAAGCACTATGTTATAGAATATCAGGTCGCGACGTAATCGCGGGATGTAGATGTCACGAGATGTAGAAGTTTCTACATGTACTGCTCACGACCACGAGTTGGCTTAAGTGCACATGAAGTTGATGACCGCCTTACTTTGCTGTTTCTTTTTTCAAATTATTTTCTTTCAATTAAGGATAATGGGACCATTAAGGGTGTGGTGTATATACAAGTCATGAGATGAATCAATGATTTATACGTGATTAAGTACGTTAATGATTACGTGTACGGTATAAGATAAAACGCAAAGTAGTACGTGACAACTGGCACTGTATCAGAAAAAAAAAGACTAAAAATGAACATGCAATTACATAATATGTACATACACTTTTTATAAACTCCGCACACTCTGCTTAAATAAAATTAGATTAGGTTGTCTGAATTGTTTTTAACAAAGTGATCAAAAGATTATGATCAAATATTGCGTCATTTCTGTTACCTCCGTCGTGAATACGCATGCCAATCGTTCCACCTGTGTACAGGACAAGAACTCTCGATTCACACTTGTAGTTTAGATCAGTGCTCTTCACTTCCGTGTCGGTTGTCTTTAACTTCTTTGGTCTGTATGAAGGATCCATGGAGAAAGACTTCCCTTCAAAGTCAGAGGCAAGAGAACAAGAACCATTGCCTGCCATTTTTTAAAATGACTGCACCGTCCACTTCACTTGCTCTTATCTTTTTGCAAAATAGATACCATCAAGAGGTTCCCTATTCTGAGTAGCCCAAAATAACATTAACTACCATATCATTTTTAAATTACAGACACTTTCGACACTTTTGTTACTAAGATAAGATTTTTAAGAAAGGTTGTAGGTGGAATTAAAATTCCACTCCGACTACATTTGCAATCCACTGTGATTGAAATGGGGGCGTCTCGATAGTCCGAAGGTTCACTGGTCCGAAAAATGGCAACATGTTCATCATTTTTTAATACTGTAGTGAACATTCGGACCAATAAACCTTCGAACTATTGAACCTTCAGACTATTGTCACGGCCCCGATTGAAATGTAAGGTGTTGATATTATCTATGAAATAAGTTACCTTTATCAACCAGCGGTTCATACAAGTGGTTTTATCTATATATGAAAAAACAATAGGCATATGTCACATTAAAGTAAGATGAACAATTAATTGTCCTAAAGACACTAACCCATAAACACATACTTTTTCAACTCACCTACAACCTCTCCAATGCTAGCCAAACTTATTCTGCGCAATAGGCGCCTTAGTTTTCCTTTGTCGACAGCATATTGGCCATCGGTTGTGACTGTCACGTACGTATCGGTAACGTATGTATCATATTTACATAAAAAGGAAGAAGCGACGTAAAAACATGCGTGCCCACATATACAACGTCGCACGCACCCACAGAGTAGTGACAAAGGACAACAAACAATGAAATAAAAAAATATCTTCACGTCGATATATATATGTATGTACCGGTAACAAATATATCATGTGAACATTTTTCGCAGATAGCTGAAGGCAAGAAATCTTTTTTGTCTCGTTTTCTTTTATTTTAATGTAACATTAAGACATAAGTGTTGCAGGGGCGGATTTAGGCTGTCTTCTGGGTCTTCTAGAAGACGGTCAGATTTTCAAGTTTACATTGTTAGCCAACTAATGTTTCTGTCGGAAGACGGTCAAAAATTGGAAGATGGATCAACGAAGATAATTTGGAAGACTGTCAGAAAATATCTCTGGATCCGCCCCTGTGTTGGCCCACAAAATGAAAGACAACCAATGAAAATGGAATAAATAAATATTTACACGCTTCATGGTAACGTATGTATCGGTAACATATGTATCATATTTACGTAACAAAGAAGAATGAGCGACACACATATACAATGTCGCACGCAATCACAAAGTCGTGGCAACAGAGTACAATCAATGAAATTAGAATACAACAACTTCATATTTTTGGTAACATATGTATCGGTAACGTATTTTTGATATAAACAATTTCAACAAACGGTTTCAAGCCAAGTAATCTTTGCTTGCCCTGCTTTTTCTTTTTATTGTAATGTAGTATACCGTAAGAAAAAGGCGTTTGCTCACAAAACGGACAACAAACAATACAAATTAAAGTATTTACACGCTACATGGTAACGTATGTATCGGTAGATTAACGTATGTATCATATTTACGTAACAAAGAAGGAGCGACGTAAAAACATACGTGCGCACATATACAACGTCGCACGCACCCACAGAGTAGTGACAAAGGACAACAAACAATGTAATAAATATATATATATATCTTTTCTTTTTATTGTAATGTAGTATACCGTAAGATAAAGGCGTTTGCTCACAAAACGGACAACAAACAACAAAAATAAAAGTATTTACACGCTACATGTTAACGTATGTATCGAAGTGTATATATTTATGCATCTTTGAAGATGTACATTATAGTTGTAAAATACAATCCACGAAGAAGGCCCAGGGGCCGAAAGCTCGGATTGTATTTTACAACTATAATGTAGATCTTCAAAGATGCATCAAAATATATACTTCTACCCTTACATGACAAAATGGCCGCAACACATGTCCTCATGCTTTTTGCGTTTTTTAAAGACTTGATGATCTGTTTCTTCATTATCAGTTGTGTGCAAGTTGTGGCTAAGTCTTTTGTTTAGAAAAATGACATCGCTGAACTTGAAATACTCCGTCGGTGCATAGCCGGCAAAAATGAAAACGAAGTGAGGAAGGGAAACGGGTTGACCGGAACTTTTGTAAAATTGGATTTAAAGGTACCCTCTACCAGGGCCGCAGTTATTATTGTGGACATTTTTGCTGAATTGCTAAATCGACTGAGAGCCAAAATGACTGCCTATTTATCTATAGACATATCTGTGAATATCTGTGGAAAATCAATCTGTCACCCTGAAAGAGGGTAATTTAAAGGTAGTCCCTGGCTAACTTATAATCCAGGAGAGAGGAAATAATTGTCCACACAGTGTCAGGAGTACTAAAGTTAACAACTGCAACATAAACCCTACTGTTTTATTACGCGGGTTCTGAAAATTTTCGTACATCCGTTTCTCACGACCACGAGTTGGCTAAATTGCATGAAGTTGATGAAGGTTCACAGTTTGAGTTTCTTTTTTTTTATAAAAATGAAATAAAATGAAGAAAGAATTCAGTCTCGTGCTGGACAATGCCTATCAAAGCTTCAATTGGATGAAAGAGACCACCTTACTTTGCTGTTTCGCTATGCACATGTTATTGCCAAAACAACGGGTGAAATAGTTATCTGATTAACAGACGTTTTTATAGATATATATTTGATATTACTGGATACACGTTCCTCAAACTTGCATTGGTTTCAGTCCTTGTGTCTTTCTTTTTCATTAAGTAATAAAAAACTCATTATGCAAATAATTCTTTTTCAAATTATTTTCTTTCAATTAAGGATAATGAGACTATTAAGGGTGTGGTGTATATACAAGTCATGAGGTGAATCAATGATTCATAGATGATTAAGTACGTTAATGATTACGTGTACGGTATAAGATAAAAGGCAAAGTAGTACGTGACAACTGGCACTGAATCAGAAAAAAACGACTAGAAATTAACATGCAATTACATAATATGTACATACACTTTTAATAAACTCCGCACACTCTGCTTAAATAAAATTAGATTAGGTTGTCTGAATTGTTTTCAACAAAGTGATCAAAAGATTATGATCAAATATTGCGTCATTACTGTTACCTCCACCATGAATACGCATGCCAATCGTTCCACCTGTGTACAGGACAAGGACTCTCGATTCACGCTTGTAGTTTAGATCAGTGCTCTTCAATTCCGTGTCGGTTGTCTTTAACTTCTTCGGTCTGTATGACGGATCCATGGAGAAAGATTTCCCTTCAAAGTCGGAGGCAACAGAACAAGCACCATTGCCTGCCATTTTTTAAAATGACTGCACCGTCCACTTCACATGCTCTTATCTTTTTGCACAATAGATACCATCAAGACGCTCCCTATTCTGAGTAGCCCAAAATAACATTTACTACTATATCATCAAGGCCAGAAATGCGCAGCATTCACGCGATACGCGAGAGCGCAACAGTAGGGCTTCACGTGACTCAACTAGCCAATCACAGCACAACAATGGCATCGCACACAGACTCTGTGATAAGTGCTGGAGGAGCCAAAATTGACTTCTTGGACTGGTAGTAGGGTACCGAGGTGAAAATACTGAAAAGCTCATAACACACATATTAGAATTTCTAGATATAGTGGTTCCATCACCACAGAATTTAACCTTGAAACTTGGCCTACTACCACATTTAATATCAGGGTTGTCAGCCAAATAGGATTTGATGGCAAAATAAGCTCAGATTCAACATCTATCTCAGCCCCATCATGTGGTCCTGGAGTACGTTGCACATGACAAATCACATTCATTTCTTTACGCATTTGTTTTATAAGGTAGCTTTTGGGCAGCCCATTGTCAAGTAGTGTTAGTTCATGGTAACAAGCGTCTGACATGTGCAGAGGAGTTTATTGTAATATATATATATATTGTTCTTACTGTTACATTATTAAATCTAACTCTGTATCCAAGTAGTTACTATACTGTACCAAGTCAGGTACTGATGATGTGCAGAGTTAATATATTCCAGAATAAGCCATTACCACTAATTTATAACTTTTATTTTTGTTTAATATGTTATTCATGAAAGAGTTCATGAAAGATTATTTTAAGTTGTTAAATCGTGATCTAATTCTTTTTATATTCAAATAAATGAATAATTTGGATAAAATTGGTCTTCCTCTTCTTATTTGCATTTTTCCTTTACTACAAGATTATTTTGGAACAGTTGAAGCATTAAAAATTAAGATAAATAGCAATCTGAAAGAGATTAGTTAAATAGTGATATTGTCAGTCAATTTATGTAGAATCTGATAATATGATTGAAAATACTGATTGAATTCTTGGCCTTGCACTGGGCAGCTTTACATTTGTGCCAAGTGCTTTTTAGACATCATTGTACAGTGGTAAAAGTTCTTCAATTGCCATGAAAGTTTTTAATCAGACTCTGTATGGTGCTGCCATTTGCTGGTGCTATCGGCAACGAATTAGCTTGCCTTTGTTTCTGAGTGAATCTACCGTCTAAAATCACTATTTCTGACAATATTTGCGTTTTGTTGAGGGTAGGCTAGGCAATGCACGGTTAACTTCTTAGCACGTGTGTACAACAGAATTTTTTTATAAAACACTTGCGATATTTGGTCAGGAGTTGCTTGAAGCATAGCACAGCGTTGCTGTCTATCGGCATCAGGCCGTTAGTTTGTCAATTATCCGCCATGGGCCCACGAATCGCGAACCCATTTATTTTCCTATGGCAATCTAGCAACTCATTAAAAATGCACGCATGTGCAGTGGGCTAGGTGTGACGCCATGCAATGCATTTCTGGGGGTGACCAACCTTTTATCATATCTGTTTATTCATTTTAATTAGGAATTATTTTAATTAGGAATATTCGTCCACAGCTGTGTAAGGAATGAGACCATTAAATTAAGGTGTACGTGCAGGTCATGAGGTGAATCGATGACTCATAGGTGATCAAGTACGTTACGTGTAAGGTACAAGATAAAACGCACAGTAATACGTGACAACCGGCATTGAGTCAGAAAAAAACGAAAACGAAACTAAAAATGAACATGCAAATACATCATATGTATATACACTTTTTATAAACACCGACACACACTCTGCTTAAATAAAATTAGATTAGGGTGTCTTAATTGTTTTTTCACAAAGTGATCAAAAGATTATGATCAAATATTGCGTCATTTCTGTTAGGGGCCTACCTCCATCGTGAATACGCATGCCAATCGTTCCACCTGTGTACAGGACAAGGACTCTCGATTCATGTTTGTAGTTGAGATCAGTGCTCTTCACTTCCGTGTCGGTTGTCTTTAACTTCTTCGGTCTGTATGACGGATCCATGGAAGTTTTCCCTTCAAAGTCGGAGGCAAGGGAACCAGCACCATTTTTGCATGCCATTTTAATGATTGCATCGTTCACTTCACTTGTTATCTTTTTGCACAAGAGATACCATCTAAGACGCTCCTAATTCTGAGTAGCCCAAAATAACCTAAACATTTATTAATTACAGACACTTTCAAATTTCTTACTAAGATAAGTTTTTTAAGAAAGGTTGTAGGTGGAATTAAAATTCCACTCACTGCATCTGCAATCCTCTGTGCTTGAAATACATGTAGGAGGTGTTGATATTATCTATGACATATTTTACCTTTATCAACCAGCGGTTCATACAAATGTTTTTTTTTCTATATGTAAACAATTGCCATATGTCACATTAAAGTAAGATAAACAACTAAATGTCCTAAAGACACTAACCCACATACTCTTTTTCAACTTACCTACAACCTCTCCAATGCTAGCCACACTTATTCTGCGCAACAGGCGCCTTGGTTTTCCTTTGCCGACAGCATATAGGCCACCGGTTGCCATTTTTTAAAGCAAAAAATAGAATTTTAAAATTGGGCCAAATAAAAACGC